AATGGGACCACCCTTGAGGTATTACCTATACGCCGAAAAAAGATTTGTTCAAATCGGTTCATAATTGGCGGAGTTATCGCGTAACAAACATAGAAAAAAAAAAAAAAAACATACGGGTCGAATTGAGAACCTCCTCCTTTTTTGAAGTCGGTTGAAAATGAAAAACTTAAATCCTCGTATATTTGCGAGCAATGGGTCAAGCCGAAAATTTGAAGTTTTTTCATCAATAAAACGTCCATAGATTACGCCCTTAAAGTTTGATCACTACATGCCCGGACACACTGTATAGTCTGCACCAACCATAGATAGAATTACCTTCTAAAGCCTGGTCCGTGAGCACGTAGAATTTTGTCCAATGACCCCAAGCTACCCATCCTTATCGCTCGCGCGTAATTATATTTCTGTCGCGACTGTGCGACGCACTTACGACACCGTACGACGGGGTCATTGGACAAAATTCTACGTGCTCACGGACCAGGCCTTAGTATGATATTAGTGCTATACATCTCAGTATACATTGTACTTACAACAGCAAAAATCTGATTCATCTTGACACATTCACCAAAAATATCAAAATTGCCTTCACATACAAAGTTAATTGTTGACTATACAGGGTGTTAGGTAAATGGGTATATGAGCCGACACTAGCCCATGTTGACATGGTCATATAAATGGTATGGTGAAGTTAGAAAATTGATATCTTCATTTTAATTATTTTATTTTTCATACAAATCGGATTTTATAAAATTTATATTGTATGAAAATTTAAAAAATCAAAATGATGATATCAAATTTCTGACTTCACCATACCATTTATATGCCCATGTTAACATGGGCTAGTGTCGGCTCATATACCCATTTACCTAACACTCTGTAGAAGTTTGTAGTATTTGTTGATGAAGGCAAATATTGATTTTGCGAAGTCACCTTTTTTTTGTTTGTGACAATATATTTATTTATTGAAACTTACGTTTTTTCCGTTCTTCAAGAAGCTATCGTTCGTTTCGAGAAGCTTTATGCTTTATTTCAATATGCGTTAGCTCAATGCCTAACTATCTATATATACATTTATACAGGGTGGAAACGATAAGTGATCTCACTCGATTATTTCTAAACTATACAATATATCAAAAAATAATTACTGATCCTGAAAGTGCTTCATGAGCTCTATCAAATGGTATTAATAATAGGTTTCTGAATAAACTGGATCTATCCGAAAATTCAATGTTTCCAGCTTCCATACATTTGGTAAGGTCACATTATTTTAAAAACTACACATGATATCGTAAAACTAATTACTGATTCTAAAAGTGCTTCACAAGCTCTATCCAATGGTATCAATATTAGGTTACAGAATAAACGGGATCTATCAAAAAATTCAATGTTCCCGTCTTCCATACATTTAGTACTACCACAGTCATGACACTCATCTCTTGACAATATTATTGCAAGTAAAGCCTAAAACTAATGTTTTCCATGAATAATTTTAAAGAAGAATACAATTTACGAGTTTATTTTAAGAGTTTATTATTCAATAAAAAAAACACACTCCTAAATTGTGTGTCTGGCATACATTTAGTATGGAAGCTGGAAACATTGAATTTTCAGATAGATCCAGTTTATTCTGTAACCTATTAATCGTACCGTTTGAAAGAGCTCATGAAGCACTTTCAGGATCAGTAACCAGTTTTTCAATATCTTGTATAGTTTAGAAATAATCGAGTGAGATCACTTAACGTTTCCACCCTGTATTTACACACGGCGCGTGTGCACGCATACATAGCTACATGCGCCAAGATTAGTTCAAGTACCCGGTGTGCCATTGCTGAATGCCTTCTACCTGTAGTATTGAATTTCCTATTATTTCGTTTAAGGGTCTACAAAACAATAAGACGCGATTTGAAGACTGAGAAATCGGAGGACCTACCAAACATTCGAGACGTCGAGAAGTTACATGACGAGATCACAGAACCTCCGCTGAATCTTGAATAGAGTTCTGGCAAACGATGAAATTTTGATGAAGTTATCAAATTGCAATGTGAAATAGCATTTAATATTTTAGGATTTTTACTACCATTGTGGTGTGTCAGGTGGCAGAAAGGCGACAGATGCAGGCCGCTACTAACCGGTCAATATGGAAATCATTATCAGGGCCTAAACTACTTCTGACTGTTTTTTGCTTATACTTATAACATTATAAATGCGAAAGTAATTTTGTCTGTCTTATTTTCACGCCTAAACCACAAAACCGATTTTGATGAAATTTAGCATAGAGATATTTAGAGTCCCGGGAAAGGACATAGGACAGTCTTCATCCCGGTTTTTGAAACAGGGACGCGGGCAATAAAGTTTTTCTGTGACAGACAAAATTCTATGCGAGCGGAGCCGCGGACGGAAAGCTAGTGGACGTCTAAATCACAAGGCGAAACATGTTAGTGGAAATTCAAAATCTGTTTGATTCACTTGCCCCCTTCACACTGATATTGAAAGAAGAATGGTTATACATTTGAAAATATTAAGGATAATCACATACCTAATGTTCAGATGTTTTAAAGAAGAAACCTTGAAGATAGAACTACATGGATTTTGAGATGCATCCGAGAAGGCATATGCCTCAGTTAATTATTGCAGAATAATTAACTTAGATGGCACTATAACCACTAAACTGATTGCAGCTCGAACAAGAGTTCCTGTTATGCCAGTTTCGTTACCTAGGTTGGAACTTTGTGGAACAGTACTGTAGTCCAAATTATTGAGGCATGTAGCAGAAGCAATGCGATACTGAAGTACTATTACCACCCGGCAAGTGGCAAGTGGCATAGCCCGTTAGCAAGTTGAAGTGGTAATTGGAAGGGTACATAGTACGTAGAACTGATGGCCGATAGGGCAGCAAGGTTCTGGAGTGGAAGCTACGTACCGGAAAGTGCAGCGTAGGACGTCCATCCACAAGGTGTACCGACAATCTTATAAAGGTAGCAGGAAGGAGCTGGATGCAGGCCGCCACCAACCAGTCTTTATGGAAATCATTGGAGGAGGCCTATGTTCACCAAAGGACGGCCTATGGCCGAAATTATGATGATGATGAAATGGCCATTAGGATGAGAATAGTCTAAACACTTTGCATAACGTTAGATATAGGCCAAGAGCTTCCTTTTTATGGTAAAAAAAAAACAGAGTTTCAACCCGGCGAGGATGTGGTACAAAAAGTATAAGTCAGGGATATGGAGGGTAATTTTGTAGATGTTTTCCTACTAAGCGGTAATTCAAAAATATTTATCAAGAAAATTAAGTAGCAGTATTAGAAGCTGTAATAAGCATGCTTTCAAATTAAAATAAATATTCTTAATCAGTTTGGTACCTATGGTATTTTTGACAAAATTTTGACTTTTTACGTTTGCTCACGACGTCCTTTTCCTTTCACCGGCAACGGTTTACTCGCTAATGTCATGCAAAGGGGAGTAAAATTCAATCAATCCAGCTACTGAGATTCTTAACAGCACACGGCTGCGGGATAAATAACTGTACACAAAAATAAGAAGGGTGGCGTCAAATTGACCCCGCCACATCCTCGCCGGGTTAAGTATCGCATGAAATTGTAAAACAATAGGTTGGCAAATTATGTTGTTAATGATGTTGCAGTAATTTTGCTTGACCAATGTTGAAATTTGTTGATTATTTAATTTTATTTGTAATTGTGAATTTTGAAAGAACCTAAGTTGATCATACTTACATTGTGTATGTCACACTTACATAACTACTGGGCTGAGTGTGAGTTTAGAACAAAAGTCCTCACAAGTGAACGCGTTAGAAAAATTTATGAAAAATTTTGTTTTTGAACGTTTCCGCTAGGGGCGCTGTACAGTCCGTATTCACACTAGGCCCTTTGTTTACTTAGTAAATGTAACTTGCACATGTAACAATCACTTTATGAAAGTCCGGTCGTACTTTAGTGGCCGGCATGTTATTATGTTTACAATAATAGACAAATGCATCATATCATTCATTAAATGAGTAGCTAGCAAGTCGACTTTATTGCTTTTTAACCTAAGCAAAATCGTATAACATACATGGGGATTATTTAGATACACCTGGATGTAAGGAATCTAAATTTTAGCTTAGAACGTCAACTGCCTGGCCACCCTGTATAACACACGTCTTTTCGGTACACTCTGTATCTGCCATTCGATATTTAACTCTTACCTCATACACAGAAGTATCAATTGATATAATTATCTTAAAAATAAAGTGTTTCAAATCTAGCTGGAGTTTTACTCAATATAATATTTTCATCGTTCGGCATTATGGAAATCATTGGGGTAGGCCTATGTTCAGCAGTAGAGACTGTGGAGATCCTGTGACTGAATTGATGATGATGATAAATACATGTCAGTATATTACGTTAATAAGTGATTCTGACACAAAATCAGTTATTTCCTGTAATTACTTTGATGAAATTAATTAAAATTAATGGAATGTTAGGTTTATATACAATAAATAAAATAAATTTCAATACAAACAAACCATCAAAAAATATTTTCTCTATTTAATATTTACTGTAGGTAGATAGGGTTTGCTGTGTCACAAAAAGAGCTATGTACCCTTCTAGCTACCACTGTAGATAGGGTTGCTGTGTCACAAAAAGAGTTAGGTATGTACCCTTCTAGCTACCCAAGCTTTTTCGTGTGTCAGCGATATGGCCTGCTTGAATTCAGCATTTTTTTCATCATCTTATTAAAAAGTCTTTCGTGGGAACCTGCAATTAATTGTAACATTCTACAGCAAAAACATGAGTAGGTACTCCCGTAGTACAAATAAGCTGTTTAATTTCTAATTAATTACAAATTAATTATCCTTGTGCAGCCCAGGGGAGGTTCGTAACGGGAATAAAAACGTGCAATTAACAAAATGGATAGTTGACCTAATTAATCGTAATTGGCAATGGTCGTGAAATTATTCCATTCGTGTGGTGAAAGTGTAAGTCTGAAGTCGCAGTTTTCAGAATGAAGTAAGTTTATGTCGTAGGTAATAATTTCATCCCCGATTACTGAGTTTATTTTGTGTAAAAATGTGTAAAGTGTAACTACATTTTTTGTGCCTAATTCTTCCTTTTTAACTGTTGAACAAATTTTAAAAATAGTTATAAAACTTTCTGTATGAACTGATCTAAAACTAACATTTATAATTCGGTGTATAGACCGTTTCATCCATGAAGACGCGCCCCACCATTCTTCTGCTAATGTTTGAGTGTTATCGGTACACGCTAAATCATCCATGAGTGCACACGCACACTACAATAATGACGCTCGGATTGCTCGGATCAAACTCCCCGCACCCCGCGCATCTCTCCACCAAAAATGGGTGGGGCGCGTCTTCGTGAATGAAACTATCTGTAATAATGGCATTTGGCGAAGGTTTCACACAAATATAATTCCAGTGAAGGGGCCGAGCGACCAGTAGTCGGGGAGGTGTGTCTCAGAAGGAAACGGAGGAAACGTCAGAAAAAACTTCTGAAACAACTGTTTCAAGATTATTCCAAAAACACAACCCTTCACGGACTGAGATACACTACTGAAAAGGGCCTTCATAATATTGAAAAGTAAGGAGTATTTATAGAAATAATTCTTATACAGTGAGTTTTGGATTGGCCTTCCGATACTTAACACGTTGTTCTTTGCTAAATTTGTAAATTCAAAACTTGAAGAAGGGACAATGATTTTGTAGGGGGAATCAATAAAAATATCTTTCAAAAATAAGCGATGTAACAACTCATTATAAACTAAGTTTGATTTAAATAGTGATGAAAAAAGCTCCGATTTTGGAATAGCGTTATTCTTTACAAGTGCGCGTTTCGAGTTCTAGTTACCAGTAGGTATGTTCGCTACAAACATTTGAAAGAAAGAAAGAAAGAAAGAAAGAAAGAAAATATTTATTTGATGCGAGTATTAAAAGCGTTACAAATAAATAACAACTTAAACACTAAAAACAGAGTACACGCACCAAAATGGCATCTGCTCAGTATAAGCCGTGACGGCAGAGAGCACGTCACGACCACTGGTATTCTGCGGATGCCAGTTCAGCAGAAGGGCGCAGAAGGGCGCATTTAGGACAAAACTTGATATTTCACAGTTTATACATTATTTATTTAGTCTTTATTTTTGTTATATCTATGTATATTATTATTATCTTTTATCCTCAGGATATTCTGGCTCGTCACGTTCATTGTGAGTGTTGCGCTGTCCTTCTACCTGATATCAAAGGTCTGGAATAAGTGGAATACGTCTCCCGTTATTGTCAGCTTTTCCGATAGACATGTCTTCGTTGATAAGGTAAAAAGACTTGCAGTCACCTTTAATAATAAATATCTCTATCACGGCACATTAACTAAATAATATTGTAATAACATAAATGGTGACTTCAATAAATTAGGGATGATTGTTGATCACATGATACATTTATGAGATTTACCTACCTAATATTATAATTATTAAGAAATGATTCTTACTTACCAGCACTGATTAGGTACGATTAAGGTATAGTCTGTTAGTTTCATCCACGAAGACGCGCCCCACCAATTTTTGGTCGAGGGAAGCGCGGGGTGCAGGGAGTTCGATCCGAGCAATCCGAGCATCATTATTGTAGTGTGCATGTGCACTCTTGGATGATTAAGCGTGTACCGATAACACTCAAACATTAGCGGAAGAAATTGTGGGGCGTGTCATCGTGGATGAAACGATCCATATCAAAGTTCAATCTTTGAATAATGTACAGGTGTACAAAGATCGAACTTTGATTGAATTTGATTGAGATTGTGTATTGGAACACACATTTCCGTTTCAGGTACCGTTCCCAGCGATAACAATTTGTCCTGCAATAAAATTTAAGAAGCTTAATTACACGGAGATACTCATAAATATAGAACAGTAAGTAAGATATTTTTCTAATTATAAACATAAATATTATTATATTAATTTCTAATTATAGGTACAGGGTAGAATTTTGTAATGCCACTTGGAGGGAAAGTACCCTTAATACTGAAGATATAAAATTTTACTCACAGAAAACATTCCTTTATTTTTGAAAAGAAAACGAACTGCATTCAAAGATTTCGAAAAAAATTCGAAAATTTTTGGAAATCTTTGAATGCAGTTCTATTTAATTTTCTTTAAAAAAATAAAGAAATGTTTTCTTTGAGTAAAATTTTCTATCTACAGTATTAAGAGTACTTTACCTTCAGGTGAAAGATTCTTTGAATCATTAAATCAATTTTCAGTCGTAAAGTCATTGACAACGACACCATGGCCACAGCCCGTGCCGTGAACTTATTTTGTGACAGGCCAAACGGGGCGCTTACTAAAGAACTACCTGATGACTGGATGGATAGATTGTTAAATGTGAGTTTTTTATATATTAATTTTAACAAAAAGATAAAACCAACTCCAAAAACATCCACTAAAAAGTAGAAAAATAATTCACTTTTACTTATAATTAGGACGAATTAGTAATAATTATCATGATTGATATTTTTGGAGTCGGTGCCAAGATTATGAAACGTATGAAAGCCGGCAAAGTGTATACCTATTACGAGAGGGCGTTCGCGTTCCTTTACGAGATATAATCAGAAATGAGGAGATTCGTAAACAAACAAGTCACTGACATAGCCCAACGGGATATAACAAGCTAAAGTGGCAATGAGCAGTACGCAGAACTGATGGCCGATGTGGCAGCAAGGTTCTGGAGTGGAGGCCACGTACCGGAAAGCGCAGCGTTGGACGTCCACCCACAAGGTGGACCGATGACCTCATAAAGGTAGCAAGAAGGCGCTGGATACAGGCTGCCACCAACCGGCCATTGTGAAAATCATTGGGGGTGGCCTATGTTTAGCAGTGGACGTCCTATGGCTGAAATGATGATGATTATGATGATGATGATAACTGACTGCTTGCTAAATAAATTATTCATTAATTTTTAAATGTAGTAGTATAAATGAGAGATCACTTGTTGAGTTTAAGTATTATACAATTTTATGTTCTGCAAAGTAGAAATTAATAGAATGAACATCATTTCGTTTTATTAATTACCTCTTTTATAATGTTTATACTCTGTACCTTTGTGATAATAATGTGAAACTTTAGGTGTCGATGGATGTAGAGGATATTTTCTACGGCTGCAATCTCGGGGGAAGTAATTGCAAGACACTAGTAACAAGAGTGTTGACGGAGGAAGGAATTTGTTTTAACATAAATGGTTTAGCAGCTAGTGATATTTTGAATTACGATAGGTAAGTATCTGATGTTTTTACTTTTAAGTAATCCTACGTTGTTTATTTTATTTTATTTTTTATTACTTTCTCCTTTCATGATAGAATTATATTATTATAATAAATAGTTCGATCGATTTCAATAGTTTTATACAGATACAGACATTACAAGGGTAAGTTAAGGTACCTTAGTATTTGATATGATTGTAAATATCCGTTAAGAACGGTTTTACGAAACTTCACCCCTAATGGGGCAAAACGGGTGTTGGAAGTTTGTATGTTTCACGTGGGTGAAGCCTTGAGCAAAAGCTAGTGTCTGTATAGTGGGTAATCTACTATTTACCCATGTAGATTAATAATATTTCGGCGTTGAACTTTATGTGTGAAAAGAGTCTTTTGACTTTCCAGTGAAAACTGAAAAAAAATAATATTATGAACTTTTTAATTTTCAGTATACAAAAAGAATACAAATACTCATTTAATGAACATGAGGCAAGGAATTGGACATTAACTGAAGGCTACACCAATGATGATGTAAACGCCTACCCACATCGTGGCCAGGTAAAAAAAACTAGTATAAATCAGATCTCAACCTTTCTGCTAAAATCCCAGATAACTTTACCTGACAGATAAATTCAAGAATTATCAACAAGATTTTTATTTATTAGAGAGTTAATGCCAGTGTAACGCAATTTACGTATATTATGTAAGGCAGTTGCAAATCATAACCTTTTGGTCTATTAAAAATATTTCAAATTCAAATTTATTTATTTGCCAGAAACAGGTAACATAATGATGGTCAAATATACATAAAATAAAGTCCATGTTTCGCTAAATACATCTTAGCATGCAATAAAGAAAACAAGATTACAATCAATTACAGTCATGATTTTGATATTCAGTTACAGAGTAAAAGGTTTTTTGTAACAACCAGGTATGTAACTCCTTTTTAAAGTCTTTTAGTGGAAGGAGTTTAATGTTCGATGGCAACCTATTATATATTTTGATGCCCATAGAGTAACAATTTTTTTGGAACAATGTTGTTCTCGGCGCAAAAGCATGCACCAATTCACAATCTTCTTTTGACAATTTCACAATCTTCTTTTGACAAAATACAATAATGAATGATTGAGAGCGCCATCTAGTCTCAAACTATGTACACTCAACATCAAATAAATCGCACCTCCCGCGACGCGAACTTTAAAGATTTTCTTTTGACACAATCATGGTGCCCCAACAATATTGGTGTTATTTGAAAGCCTAATAAATAAACTTAAAGAAAAACACATTTAATTGTTTTATAAACAATTAACAGGTACCATAAATGTGACTTGAAAAAAGGCCTCACTGGGGGCTCACCTATGGGACCAAGTAAACCAATTTTTGTGGTTATAAAACCAAATAATGATCTTACATGTCCTTTTTAACAGATGGATAGCAATTAATCCCAATTTAACAGTTTTATAGCCATAAAAGTTGGCTCAAGCGTAAGTACCTATTTTTTGAAGAAGTGACTCTGGATCCTTTTAAAGACACATTTTCGGGACAAAAAACTTTCCTTTAATGAAATGAAGTTTAGAACTAGGCTTCCAAATGGTACCAATGTTGGTGGGAAGTGGGGATGCATACGTTTGATAAGTGCTTGTCGAGGGAGGTGCGATTTATTTGATGCCGAGTGTATTAATGGCTAACTTTGTGGCCACCACACCATAAATCGTAATAATAATATGTCTATCAAAACAGCACATAATATAGAGACGACAGCGTAAGTAGTACTGTGAAATCTTGAATGTAGTTTTTCTAAGTACAATTTTAACCAGGGTCAATGACGTGAAAATAATTTCAAATATGATATGAAAATTATGATATTAACATTAAACACTAAATAAGCGAATAAAAAAGTAAGCCACAAAATCACCGCGCCACTGATGACTCTGGGTCATAATGACCCGTTTTAATTTGACGCAAGTGTATCTCGCTGCGCAAGTGGCGTCATATTAAGCGGGCCTACGGGGCGGGTAGGGGGGGCTGTAATGTTATCTTCAGCTACACGAACGCTCGAACCAAAAAATGGACGCAAAAATAATTACGTTTAAAAATGCCTTGGGTCAATATGACCCTGCGTCAATGATGCCAGGTGATGCTGATAGGTAACGTGCTATTGACTATGCTATTTTTCTTCCTCAGGAAAGTGGTGAAACTCCCTACTTAAGCCTGCAACTGGTTGATTGGGAATCCAAAAAAGATAAAAACTGTAATGTAATATTTACTGGTTATAAGGTAAATATTAATACTTAGATACAAGAAATTATGTAATTTTTAAACCATATAACAAATAATGTGACCCTTGGACAATTTTGAAACTAACAACAGCTTAACATGACTACAGAATTTAACTCAATATATCAGTCATTATTAGCTCATTTAGTTTCCAATGAACTAAAAAGCTCACTTTTTTGAACAGATTTATTTGCATCACCCAGCCGATTGGCCTCAGGCGCGGTCCTACTACTTTGCAGCTCTACCAGAGCAAGTATCATCCATGGCTGTTGAATTCTCTGCAGTTTCTACCAGCGAAGATTTGAAAGCAGTTGCATTAAACGTGTACGTGTCAAGAATACCATTGTTCTTGAAGGTGTTAAAGTACGATATTGCCGTTTTGTATGGAGAAAATATCGGCAATTATAATATACTTTAACCGCTTTGTTTCTGAATTTATTAATTTTAGGGTTATGGTAATGTTATTTTTCATGTTCCAGGCGACAATGCTACTTTCCAGAAGAGAGGCCGCTGAAATATTTTAAAATATATTCCTACAACCATTGCAGGCAAGAATGTTTGACAAACTTCACCTACGCACGGTGTGGTTGCGTCATGACTTATATGCCATGTTTGTATTAGTTAATATTTAAATCACTGTAAAATTGTCTTGATTAAAAGTTTTTGTATTTTTCAAACTACTTACGATATTTGGTAAAATTATGTTTTTTTTTCAGTTCAGACTAACGAGAAACTCTGTTCATCATGGAAACAAATATCCTGTTCTATGAGAGTTAATGGTTAGTTTCAATAAAAATCTGAGCTATGCAGCAAATACCAGTATTACAGGCAAATAACAAGTTATTTTTGTTTTGGTTTAATTTATTTTTAGATATTTTTTCAATGGGAGGCAGTATAAACCTGCGAAACTGCAGATGTCTACCATCATGCAACTACATACAATATGACGCTGACATACATAAAACAGACTATAAGTTGGATGATTTTCAGTCTATACGGATAGACAAAAGAAAGAGGTTGCTTATGTCGTTGCTTGGCTTGAGAGATATCAAACGGTACGTAGGTATAACTTTGAATTTTGTTAAGGCAAGCAAAGTAAGGTAATATTACCTATACACGCTTACTTAATATTAATATTTTTTTAGGAATAAAAAAAGTACAAGTGTGCAGATATTTTTCAAGGAACCAATGTTTATGGCTATACATCGGTCAGAATTATTTGGAATAACTGATTTTCTTGGCATCTGTGGCGGCCTTTTGGGCTTATTCTTGGGATTCTCATTCTTAAGCATTGTGGAGATCTTCTATTTTCTGACTTTTAGGTAAAGTAACAACCGGTTCAAATTATGTTAACTGACATTAACTGTATAGGCATACATAGCTCCGCCAAGATTAGTTGAAGTACGTGTAGGTGCCATTGCTGTATGCTTTATACCCATAATATTAAATCTCTTATTATTTCGTTTAAGGGTCTACAAAACCATAAGACGGGATTTGAAGACTGAGAAATCGGGAGACCTACCAGACATTTTCCACGTCGAGAAGTTACATGACGAGATCACAGAACTTCCACTGAAACTTAAATAGAGCTCTGATAAACGATGAAAATAATGTTTTTTATTAAGTTATGAAATCGCAATGTTAAATATTCGCATTTTAAGACTTTAGGGTAGACTTTAGGCATTATTGGTGGCAGGAAGGCGCTGGATGCAAGTGGCTACTAACTGGTCAATTTGGAAATCATTATCATTTATTTATTTATCAGTTTTGTTATTAGAGCTATTCTAAAAGTCTAAAAAATAATGGAATTTGCGTTAATTTGTAACAAATAAGCAATTTACATATTATTGTCATAATATTGATCAGTACTTTCGGGTAATTATCATCTTCTATTATTAAATATTCATAACCATTATTGTAAGGTACTATCAGCTCCTTGTTAATTAACTGGAGCAATGTGTTTTTGGCAAAATTTCCACCTTTTTACGTTTGCGCACGCAAAAAGAAATACATACAGTATTTCCTTTTACCGGCAACGATCGACTCACTAGTAGCATGCAAAGGGGAGTAGAGTTCAATTACTTCAGCTACTGAGACGTTCAACAGCACACGGCTGCGGGATAAATAACTGTACACAAAAATAAGAAGGATGGGGTCAAATTGACCCCGCCACATCCTCGCCGGGCTAAGTATCGCAATGAAATTGTAAAACAATAGGTTGGTAAATTATGTGAACTGCCTGTTAATGATGATGCAGTAATTTTCTTGACCAATGTTGAAATTTAATACATTTTGTAAGAATATTTAGTTTTATTTGTAATTGTGAATTTTGAAAGAACCTACTTGATCATACTTACATTGTGTGTCACACTTTCATTATTTCATATCTGGCGAGTACTTGTAGTTTGTTTTTACTTACTTACGCTAGAGAAGCATCCAGAGTGGGAAAATAATTAAAAACCAACCATAGGTGATAGTCAAGGATAAATCTCCTAAACTAAGCAAAATCGTAGAACATACATGGGGGTGATTTAGATACACCTTGATGTAAGGAATCAAAATTTTAGCTTTGAACGTCAACTGCCGGGCCAGCCTGTATAACACACGTCTTTTCGTTACACTCTTTATCTGCCATTCGATATTTAACTTTAACCTCACACACATAGGCATCAATTAATATAATTATCTTAAAAATAAAGTGTTTCAGTGGTTTAGGTGTGAAAGAGAGGCAGACAGACAGACAGACAGAGTTACTTTCGCATTTATAATATTAGTATAGATTACTGTAGATAGGGTTGCTGTGTCACAAATGCGTCTTTCCGTTCTATACATGATTTTATTCTTGAGATAAAAGTTAATAAATAAAATAAATAATAAATAAATATCCTTAGACATTTTACACTGCGCTTCTAGTCCCAAACTAAGCAAAGCTTGTACTATGGGTACTAGACAACGGATAATTATAAACATACTTAAATACTTTTTTTTTGTAAATACATACTTATTATACATAGAAAACACCCAGTCCAATACAAACAAATATGTTCATGCACACCAATGTTTGTACTGTTCGGGAAATGAACCCGCTACCTCCGGAATAGTAGTCCGTTTCGAACCACTACACCAAACGGCCGACAATACAAACCTAGCATTTAAAGTCTTGCATAATATTGTATTTAATGCACGTTGAACTTTCTTCTCTCACTCTCTCTCATTTTAATTAAATTGTTATTTAATTTGAATTCTACCTAATCATTTAATTTTAAAAAACCACTTACAATAGTGTTAAAAATCTAGATGTATTATAGATTCAGTAAAATAATAATATTTTATGTAATAATATCAAATAAATGTAATTTTAAATATAGTTCCATATTTTACTGAATTTTACTAAATCAATATCAACTAAACACACTCTAGTCAAGTGTAAGTGGTGTAGTAGAAACTAATCGAGTATAGTTTGGAAATGACTTTTTTTACTAAGCTCTTCCAAACTATACACGATCAGTACGCAAAATTCGTGTATAGTTTGGAGTCACAGATTTACAAACAGGCACTACAAAATATAAACGAGCAGTTTCCTATGGGTGCGTTCTGGCCATGTATAGAACGGAAAGTCGCGTCACAAATAGACCTAAGTACCACCCTTCTAGTTACCCAGGCTTGGTCGTGTTCAAGCGATATGGCCTGCTTGAATTTAGCATTTTTTTCATAATCTTATTAAAAAGTATTTCGTGGGAACCTGCAATTTTGTAACTTTTATTAAACATACTACAGCAAAAACAAGAGTACTCCCGTTGTACAAATAAGTTGTTTAATTTCTAATTAATTACAAATTAATTATCCTTGTGCAGCCCAGGGGAGGTTTGTTGCGGGAATAAAAACGTGCAATTAACAAAATTGATAGTTGACCTAATTAATCGTAATTGGCAATGGTCGTGAATATATTCCATTCGTGTGGTGAAAGTGTAAGTCTGAAGTCGTAGTTTTCAGAATGAAGTAAGTTTATGTCGTAGGTAATAATTTCATCCCCGATTACTGAGTTTATTTTGTGTAAAAATGTGTAAAGTGTAACTACATTTTTTGTGCCTAATTCTTCCTTTTTAACTGTTGAAGAAATTTTAAAAATAGTATAGACCGTTTCATCCATGAAGACGCGCCCCACCATTCTTCCGCTAATGTTTGAGTGTTATCGGTACACGCTAAATCATCCATGAGTGCACACGAACACTACAATAATGACGCTCGGATTGCTCGGATCAAACTCCCCGCACCCCGCGCATCTCTCGACCAAAAATGGGTGGGGCGCGTCTTCGTGAATGAAACGATCTATAATAATGGCATTTGGCGAAGGTTTCACACAAATATAATTCCAGTGAAGGGGCCGAGCGACCAGTAGTCGGGGAGGTGTGTCTCAGAAGGAAACGGAGGAAACGCCAAAAAAAACTTCTGAAACAACTATTCCAAGATTATTCCAAAAACACAACCCTTCACGGACTGAGATACACTACTGAAAAGGGCCTTCATATTATTGAAAAGTAAGTCCTCATAAAATTAAGTAATAAGTTTTGAATTAGTAAGTCTTATGGGGTGTTTTGTACTGGAAACTCCACGTTGTTCTTTGGTAAATCTGTCAATTCAAAACCCCCTTTAAGTGCATTGTTTATTGTGGATGACACAATTTGTAAAGGAAATCAATAATTTTTGATTATGCAATTTAAAAACATCGTCATCGTCACTTACCATCAGGTGGGATACAGGCCAAGAGCTTCCTCGTAGTGGATAAAAAAAATAAAGCAGTTATAGCTTTCGATTTCTTATTGTTATGAAAAAAGCTCCGGATGTGGAAGAGCTTTTTTTAGAAGCACGTTTCGAGTTGTAGTTACTCGTAATTTTCTTTATTAATGTCCCATTCGCCAAAATATTTTGCAATAATATTTTTTTCACAGTTTATATACTTGTAAAGTATGTGAATTTTGAATGTTTTATACAATCTTAATGATTTTTGTTACATCTAATTGATTATTTTCTTTTATCCTCAGGATATTCTGGCTCGTCACGTTCATTGTGAGTGTTGCGCTGTCCTTCTACCTGATATCAAAGGTCTGGAATAAGTGGAATACGTCTCCCGTTATTGTCAGCTTTTCCGAAAAACATCTCTTCGTTAAAGAGGTAAAAAGGCTTCTATAATTATTTGACCTAAAATATCTATCACGTCACAATAAACTTGATAATATCGTAACAACATCTTATACACTGGTCATCACAAAAATCGACCCTCCTGCGACAAGTACTTTCAAACGTATGCATCCCCACTTCCCACCAATATTGGCACCATTTAAAAGCCTAGTTCTAAACTTCATTTCACTAAAGGAAAGGTTTTTACCCCAAAAATGTGTCTATAGAAGAATCCAGAGTCACTTCTTCAAAAAATAGGTAGTTACGCTTGAGCCAACTTTTATGGCTATAAACTGTTAAGTTGGGATTAATCGCTATCCATCTGTTAAAGAGGACACGTGAGATCATTATTTGGTTTTATAACCATAAAAATTGGTCTAATTGATCCCAGAGGTGAGCCCAAAGTGAGGTCTTTTTTCAAGTCACATTTATTGTATATCGCGTTTATGTTAATCGTTTATTAAGAAATTAAATGTGTTTTTCTTTAAGGATATTTATTGGGCTTTCAAATAACACCAATATTGTTGGGGCACCATGATTGGGTCAGTAGAAACGAGTTTTCCTGTAAAACGTAGGTGGGCCGATTTTTGTGATGACCAGTATAGTTCCTTCAACAAATGCTTTAAAGAAATTACATCATTAGGGATCATCGTTGATTACACCTATAATAATATTTAGGAGATTTACCTATTAATACAGTGTGAGTCACGTTAAAGTGTACATATGAAAATAGATGAAACTAGACCTATTTTTATCGACAAAAAAGAGGTCAAAAAATTTTTGAGATTTTTTTTTAATTTTTTATAGAATTTTTTTTCTTCCAATTACTTATTGTAAAGAAAACATAATAACTTATAAACTAAGCGGTATATCCTGATAAAATAAAAACAGTAATAATGCTAAATAACAGGCGATACTAAAAAAATACATAAAATACACAAAAAATGGCAACAAATAATAAAAAATGATAATTTTTGAAAAAAATCTGCTTTAAAATTCGTGTTTTTTTTGTTATTTGATAAATTTCTCCAAAAAATGCCCCTATAACCGGTGGTTTTTATTACTTTGTATTATTCTCTATCGTATTATCTTTGTAAAACCAAAAATCGCATGTCTCTATCCCTATCACAACATTTGCTATGATCGTTTGAACAAAGGCCTGCCACAACATTATTCTCCGCTACAGGTAGAGACAATTTTAATTTTAACTTAAATGCTTATTTTATTTCGAAATCTTTTGTTTTTATTAGAAATCTAACTTGTATTTATCAAAATTACAAATCTAGAGCCATTTTCAGTTTCGTTGTTAACGAAGCGTTGAATGGCGCGCCCGGAGAGGCTTAGTTCAAACGATCATTGCAAACGTTGTGATAGGAATAGAGACATGCGATTTTTGGTTTTACGAAGTTAATACGATAGAAAATAATACAAAGTGATAAAAACCACCGGTTATAGGGGCATTTTTTGGAGAAATTTATCAAATAACCAAAAAAACACGAATTTAAAAGCAGATTTTTTCAAAAAGTAGCCNACTAATAATTAAAAGTTTTTTTCACTTACTGGCAGTGATTAGTTAAATTTAAACCATAGTAGTAACATACTGGATTAGAAAAAGATGGAACTTTCGGTTTCAGGTGCCATTCCCAGCGATAACAATTTGTCCCGCAGTAAAATTTAAGAATTTCAATTACACGGAGATACTCGCAGATCTGGAAAAGTAAGTAAAGAGTAAATAAACATGGTCTATAAGCCAACCCCACAAAACAAAAAATTGGCCAAGTGTGTGTCGTGCCACGCGCAGTGTACGCGCAGTGTGTTCCGTAGTTGTCCGTCGTGACCACAATATATTTCAGAAGCAAGCAATTACTTCATCTAAAGTCACTTTAAATATATTTTTTTTTAGTTAAGAAATTTTATAATACATGAGTCAAATGACTATTACTGTAGGTGTAGTAGGATATACATAATATCGTCACTCTACCACCAATAGGAGCAAAGAACCAATGAAAAATGTTGCGAAAACGAAAAAAAAATATTCAAATAAAAATCACACATACGAAGTCGCGGGCTCAGCACATTGGTGAATATCAGTTTGTATTATTTTCAGTCAACAAGTCATTGACAACGACACCTTGGCAACAGCTAGCGCCGTGAACTTATTTTGTGACTGGCCAGCAGAGGAACTTATTAACGAACTGCCTGGTGACTGGATGGATAGATTGTTAAATGTGAGTTTATGTAAAATACTCTCTAAGCGAACTAGTATACGCTATCAGAAATTAGAAAATTAATTTGCTTTTAATTTAACATCTACATCACTGTTATTCGTTCCTTCGGTAACGTATTCTAAAATATACACCAAACCCTCTTTTATACTCTGTACAAAATATGTGATCATCATCGTCATCATCATTTCAGCCATAGGACGTCCACTGCTGAACATAGGCCTCCCCCAATGTTTTCCATGTTGATCGATTGGTAGCGGCCGGCGTCCAGCGCTTCCCTGCTACCTTTATGATTTCGTCAGTCCACCTTGTGAGTGGATGTCTCACGCTTCGTTTTCCGGTACGCGGCCTTATACAGAAGCTCAAAGTTGCACAGCGTGCTATGGAGCGGGCTATGCTCGGTGTTTCTTTACGAGATCGAATCTGAAATGAGGAGTTCCGTAAACGAATTAAGTCGCTGGCATAGCCTGACGGATTAGCAAGCTGAAGTGGCAATGGGCAGGGCATATAGTACGAAGAACTGACGGCTGATGGGGCAGCAAGGTTTTGGAATGCAGGCCGCGTTCCGGACAACCAATGTGATACTCATACTTAATAATGTGAAACTTTAGGTGTCGATGGAAGTAGACGATATTTTCTACGTCTGCAAACTCGGAAAAAATGATTGCACGGATCTAGTAAAAAGAGTGTTGACGGAGGATGGAATTTGTTTTAACATAAACGGTTTGGCAGCTAGTGATATTTTGAATTACAATACGTAAGTCTCTGATGTTTTGCTTTTAAGTAATCTTACGTGGTTTTATCTTGTATTTGTTATTACTTTCTAATGATAAAATTTAATAACAGTACGATGGATTTCATTCGTTTTATATAGATACAGACATAACAAATAATGTATCAGCGTTTAACTTTGCTTGAGAAAAGTATCTTTTCTCTCTATTTATCTGTGAACATATTGAAATTGAAACACCTACATTCAGAATTTACTTGACTTTTGAGTGAAAACTAAAAAGCATAAACTTATATCTTTTTTATTTTTAGTATACAAAGAGAATACAAATACTCATATAATGAACATGAGGCGAGGAATTGGACATTCACTGAAGGCTACACCAATGATGACGTAAACGCATACCCATATCGTGGCCAGGTAAAGTAACTCGCATAAATCAGGTCACCCTTGCTGCTAAAATCCCATCTAGATAACTTTATCTGACAGATAAATTAGTCAAGAATAATCATCAAGATTTTTATTTAATTTATTTATTAGAGAGTCACTGCCTAAAAGAAGTAGCGTAACGCAATTTACGTGTAAATAACGCAGTTGCAAATCAAAACCTTTAGGTTTATTAAAAAATATTTGATAATCTTATTTTAATAAAACACAATAATGAATGAGTCCTTGAACATAAAATATTATGTATCCTTTGCCATCTAGTCTCAAACTACGAAAAGCTAGTTTTGTGGCCACCACACCATTTAATTTTACTTGTATCATAATAATATTATGTGTATGGTCTTATCAAAACAGCACAGCTAGAGACGATAGCATAAGTAGTGGTGTCAAATCTTGAATGTAGTTGTTCTAAGTACAATTTTTAATGATGCTTATAGGTACTAGCCCACCACAACAATTAGGCGCATGACAGGAAACTAAATTGCACTCACATTCGACCATTGCTTAAATTACATTCTCATCCAATTAGTCACTAGTATACTTGTACTAATTTCATACCTAGTACTAGGTAACAGTTTGTCTCGAAGTGATTTGATATTCACCTCCCTAGCTCCAGTGACGCCATGTTTGCCGTGCGCCTAATTGTTTTCAACCGACTTCAAAAAAGGAGGAGGTTCTCAATTCGACCCGTATGTTTTTTTTTTTTCTATGTTTGTTACGCGATAACTCCGCCAATTATGAACCGATTTGAACAAATCTTTTTTCGGCGTATAGGTAATACCTCAAGGGTGGTCCCATTTAAATTTAATAATAGAAAAAACAACCCCCAAGGGTGGAAAATTGGGGATGAACTTTTTTATACGCAATATCTCCGCCGATTATAAATCAATTTGAACGATTATTTTTTTGTTGAATAGGTATTATCAAAAGGGTGGTTTCATGCGAATTTGAAGAAAATATTTCACCCCCAAGGGTGGAAAATTGGGGATGAACTTTTTTATACGCAATATTTACCCCCAAGGGTGGAAAATTGGGGATGAACTTTTTTATACGCAATATTTTTAATTTTTAGTTTTTTTTTGTGTTCACGCATTTGAAGAAGACGGTTTTATTTTTTTTTAAAGTTAATTATGGTCGGATAGTAACGTGGTGTTGACTATGCTATCTTTCTTTCACAGGAAAGTGGTGAAACTCCCTACCTAAGCCTGAATCTGGCTGATTTAGAACCCATTAAAGATAAAAACTGCAATGTAGTATATACTGGTTATAAGGTAAATATTCAAATGCATCCTATTTAGATACATGCTACCATAATCATATTAATTTTCAAATTAAACCATACCGTTTAAGGTGACCGTCGGACAATTTCGAATACACGGTGTTACTTAGCATTTTTGCCATATTTACAGAGGTAACTATATGAATGACACTGAAAACAAATCAGTAAAAAACAATATCCTAAAATTGAGTTTTTTAAACTTGACTATTTTATTTTATCGACAATCTTCTTTATTTTTAAATATCTATTGGAGATTGTAAAAATATTTTTGACACTTGTGTAAAAAGCTGACGCCCACTGTTTATTCCAATTGCGCCTGTTGAATGAGCGAGACNTCAAATTACTCAAGACTTTAATACAATCATAACATATCTGCGTACAAAATAATAAATGATTATTGGAAAATAAGTGATTAATTTCTCTATTAGACCCTATAGGTCTTTTCGTTTACGCGCGACCGCTGCCGTTACAAAAGACCGCGCGCCCGCTTGAAGGTTATCTAAGCCATAGGACATCCACTGCTGAACATAGGCCTCCCCCAATGCTTTCCATGTTGCCCGTTTGGTAGCGGCCTGCGTCCAGCGCCTTCCTGCTACCTTTATGATGTCGTTGGTCCACCTTGTGGGTCCAATTTCGATTCGATTCAATATGATGAATTGGAAAAAAGAGCAATACATATTCTTGATACATACACTTTTAGTGCTACTGCTTGCAAATCTTTGCTGGTGGATACTGCAGAGAACTCAACAGCCATGGATGATACTTGCTCTGGTAGAGCTGCAAAATAGTAGGACTGCGCCTGAGGCCAATCGGCTGGGTGGTGCAAATAAATCTGTAAAAAGGGAGCATGGATCTCGTAATAGGTTACTAAGGAACAAAATATGGACATCAAGCCTTCAAAACCCCGTCGGATCAGCGTTGGGTAAGGGAAGGGTTTTGCAAAGTGGTGCTCCTGCAGTGGACACAAAATGAGCTGATGATGACAAGTATGTAATGTATATTGAGTTAACGTTATGCATTATACATACAGGTTGTTACTTTGCATTCTTGCCATACCTATTCACAGAGAGAGCGAACAATACCTATTAGTTTAGATAAACAAGAGGTAAAGAAAGCACACTGAGTTTTTAGTAAATTTAGGTTTGCAGTACAAATTGAAATAAACCAATCCCACCAAAAACATTCTGTAAAAAACTAGCCAAGTCTCGATGGAGCTGCTTGTTTATCTCTAAAAAGTAATGAAATCTAGACAAAGTCGTGCCAAGTCTATGGTTCTTTACTGCGATTTCTTTATTATTATAGTTAATGTTGTGTGACTTGGCCGTTGAAGGGTACAAAACCAGGTGCTCCATGACACCATTGCACCAATCTGTTGCCAGAACCGCTACCCACTGACGATGGAAAATTGCCACTTGGAAAACGTTGATTTAATAACCAGTGAATTGTAGGCTTAATAAAGCTGCGTATTTCAATAATACTTATGCATGATTATTGATTATCTTAATAAAGATTGTTCAACGGCCAAGTCACACAACATTAACTATAATAATAAAGAAATCGCAGTAAAGAACCATAGACTTGGCACGACTTTGTCTAGATTTCATTACTTTTTAGAGATAAACAAGCAGCTCCATCGAGACTTGGCTAGTTTTTTACAGAATGTTTTTGGTGGGATTGGTTTATTTCAATTTGTACTGCAAACCTAAATTTACTAAAAACTCAGTGTGCTTTCTTTACCTCTTGTTTATCTAAACTAATAGGTATTGTTCGCTCTCTCTGTGAATAGGTATGGCAAGAATGCAAAGTAACAACCTGTATGTATAATGCATAACGTTAACTCAATATACATTACATACTTGTCATCATCAGCTCATTTTGTGTCCACTGCAGGAGCACCACTTTGCAAAACCCTTCCCTTACCCAACGCTGATCCGACGGGGTTTTGAAGGCTTGATGTCCATATTTTGTTCCTTAGTAACCTATTACGAGATCCATGCTCCCTTTTTACAGATTTATTTGCACCACCCAGCCGATTGGCCTCAGGCGCAGTCCTACTATTTTGCAGCTCTACCAGAGCAAGTATCATCCATGGCTGTTGAGTTCTCTGCAGTATCCACCAGCAAAGATTTGCAAGCAGTAGCACTAAAAGTGTATGTATCAAGAATATGTATTGCTCTTTTTTCCAATTCATCATATTGAATCGAATCGAAATTGGACCCACAAGGTGGACCAACGACATCATAAAGGTAGCAGGAAGGCGCTGGACGCAGGCCGCTACCAAACGGGCAACATGGAAAGCATTGGGGGAGGCCTATGTTCAGCAGTGGATGTCCTATGGCTTAGATAACCTTCAAGCGGGCGCGCGGTCTTTTGTAACGGCAGCGGTCGCGCGTAAACGAAAAGACCTATAGGGTCTAATAGAGAAATTAATCACTTATTTTCCAATAATCATTTATTATTTTGTACGCAGATATGTTATGATTGTATTAAAGTCTTGAGTAATTTGAATTAAGTTAAAGAAACAATTATTTCATCAATTAACAAAACGCAAATATTATTTGGATCAAAAACCAATTTTGGAACACAAAATCTTTCAAAATACCTCAGAATAGTTCATATATCTGGTAAAAACGATAAAAATGACAAAATAATGATAAAACATAATTTTATAATTTTGGTTCAGTTTAACTTGCCCTCTGAGCTCCGATTCGCTCTCTTTTTCATCTTTTCGTAGTAATGCCTCTGTTATTTCACTTTGTATTAGCAGTCTACAACTTATTTAATAAGAAAAAACAGTATTGCAAGCTTAATTCAATAATATTGGGTGATAGCCGAAGAAATGTTATATCCTCAGATCATAGAAGGGAATAGATGTGAAACGGGGGCGTGGCGCGTGTCTCCGCGATATGCCCAGAAACGAACATCGCCCGCGACGCCAGGTTAGTCGCGATTCAGTCGTACTGAGGAAATGTTCTCCGATATTGTTGGATAATGCGTCGTAACGTGCAATAACATAAGTGAAACGAAGAACTACAGGAACAATGAAGTCATTTACCACATGTAAGTATTGCAAATCCATTGGTATTTTGCTTATAAATAAAAAAAACTAAACATTTTTACGAACGAATTCAGTGCCGTGACATTTACTGCGATATCGAAATTAGTGGTGATAAAAATTCAAACACGTTGTACATTGACGATTTAGTTAGCAACCACTTTATGTCATGCGTAACTACTGCGCAATGTATTTTATTTCTTCCGATATCCACTGACGCGTGAAAATACACAGTACGGCCGCATGTGCCGGTCGTAACATAGTGCAGGGCTCGTGTTCTAATACGGTTTCCTATTATCGATAAATAGAAGTAAATTATTATTTTCTATTTTCTAATTTTGAATGAAAAAATCATGAGTTGCTTGCGATTTTTAAGTTTTTACAAAAACAATAACAATAGTAGAAGGGATTAGTAACTGTCAACTATGTAATTACTATAAGAGCTAGTTGAAAGCCTAATATAGGCATTATTTTTGATAAACATAGGCGGTACGAATTTCGCCATAATTAAAAAGTTAATGCGCGATAGTAGTTAATAATAATTACAGTGATCCTGTTATTATTATTAAAGTAAATAATAATATATTACCAATATTGTAAATACTGGTAAAAATCGCAAGTACCTACTTAACCCATGACTTTTCATACAAACTTTGTCAGTCTATAACTTCTATACTCCATCGATAACGACATTGAGCTTTGGTTGGGGTAAATTAATATAAGGTAACTTCATTTAGTCCCAATAATTGATTCTGAGTTTTTCGTCCATACAAAATGGAACTGACTCCTTTATGCAAAAATCGTTAAAGAACATAATAATAACGTATAATAATAAAAAGGTTTTCATACAAGCATTTTTTAAACCAATTTCGAGCCTTGCCCCCAGGATTTAAAGTATCGATATCTTATCGACTCCATTTTATCTTTCTTCTCTCTAATTGCTTTTTTCAAAGTGTGCGTCACGTCACGCGGCCATTGATTGGCCATAAGGCACGCCTTCTGGCCAATCACAGCACTTTTAAGCCGGTTGCACATGTTGTTGTAGACTCTCAATCGCTTTGTTTTTACACAGTTGAATGTGTGTGTGGGAGCTGTGGTGGGGGAAATGTGGGGACACTGGTTCTCGTTGTAGTTACGCGCGACTTCATATCTATTCTCTTTCTATGATCTGAGGTTATATCGCATAGAGAGTCGCGCGTAACCTTTTCGACGACAGGCGCGTGGCGTCCTTTCGACGCCGGCGCCGGGACTAAAACAATAGCAAGTCATGGGGTGGGAAAAGCTCGGAGAGCTGAGGTAAGCTCTTTATTTCGCTCACAATGAGCAAGCGACAGGCTACTAAAAATGAGAAATATGTGTAACAAGTAAAAAAAAAGTTATGAAGGAAAATGTGTTAAGCGCGGTCGATTCGACGCCGCGCGCCCGCTTGAAGGATAATAATGATGATGAAATTGGTCAAGCTTATAATATTAGGTGTTAAAGTATGACATAGCCGTTTTTTATGGAAAAAATAACAGTAATTTCATACTTTAACCCCGACGTTTATGAATTGGTCGACATTAAACATTCGTAAGTAATATTTTGTTGTGCTTAAAGAACGTAGGTGTACATGCTCGATGAAATCTTGAAAACAGGCAGTGGTTGAATGAAAAAATCAGGTGATCATACTTGGACCTGGACCACCATTGGCTGAAATCATGATGATGATGACAAAAATATTTTAGAGTTATGGTAGTTCTCGAGTGGCGACCACGCGCTGGAAGACGTAGCGTGGGCAGGCCTCCTACTAGGTGGACCGACGATCTGGTAAAGGTCGAGGGAAGAGCCTGGATGCGGGCAGCGCAGGACCGTTCATTGTGGAAAACCTTGGGGGAGGCCTTTGTCCAGCAGTGGACGTCATTTGGCTGAAACGAATGGTGGAACTAGGAATACTAACTTTATCATCTTCGTTCGTTCGTTTCAGCCAAATGACGTCCACTGCCGGACAAAGGCCTCCCCCAAGGTTTTCCACAATGAACGGTCCTGCGCTGCCTGCATCCAGGCTCTTCCCGCGACCTTTACCAGATCGTCGGTCCACCTAGTAGGAGGCCTGCACACGCGCCCACTGCCTGGGAATACTAGCTTTATCATCTATTAAAATATAAAGTTTTTTTATGTTACAGGCGACAATGCTACTTTCCAGAAGAGAGGCCGCTGAAATATTTTAAAATATATTCCTACAATCATTGCAGGCAAGAATGTTTGACAAACTTCACCTACGCACGGTGTGGTTGCGTCATGACTTATATGCCATGTTTGTATTCGTTTATATTTAAGTCACTGTGATATTGCCTTGATATTAGATTTTTTCCAAAAGCTTTTGTATGTTTTAAACTCCTTACGATATTTGATTAAATTCTGTATTTCTTTTTTTAGTTCATACTCATGACAAAATCTGTTCATCAGAAAGTCAAATATACTGTTTTATAAGAGCTAACGGTAAGTTTTAGCACTTAACAATATTTGCCTACCTATTCTAAAAATACCTAAATAACACGTTTTTTTTGTGCATAACAAAGCAATTTTATTTTTGTTTTTCATTTATGTAGATGTTTTTTCAACGGAAGGCAGTGAACAACTGCAAGACTGCAGATGTCTACCGGCATGCAACTATATACAATATGATGCTGACATACATAAGACCGAGTTTAACTATGCTGAATTTCACATAATAAAGCTGAAGAAATATTATAAAAAAGCGTTAGGCCATGATGTGGATTTGAAACGGTACGTATAAGCCAGTAGAATTAGATTTTTTTTTTTACTTGGCGCAAAGACTCATGGCAGGCGGTGTCATAATAGAACAGTGCATATCGCGTTTTCTCTCGCACTCACACTGTTTATGGATGACGTCACACAGAAGCAGGCATAGCGTTGTTTAAAATACTTAATAATTAATAAAATATTGTCTCTGTTTAAAAAAATACTTATGGCCCCGCCTGTCACGAGTCTTTGCGTCGGGTAGAACACAAGTTTACTGATAATAATTATTGCTATCCATATTTTTTAGATATAAAAGTTCAAGTGTGGAGATATTTTTCAAGGAACCAATGTTTATGGCTATACATCGGTCAGAACTGTTTGGGATAACCGATTTTCTTGGCATCTGTGGCGGCCTTCTGGGCTTATTCTTGGGATTCTCATTCTTAAGCATTGTGGAGATCTTCTATTTTCTTACTTTTAGGTAAAGTATTTTGTACTTTCAACACCAAAAAATATGAGTGTGTTAAAGTGTCCTATATGTACTATCGCTAACAGTGTAAACTGCCCATTGCCGGTCATGTGGTCTGGTTCTATCGCAAAAAATCACCATTTGATGACAGCGAGAGCAAAAATGGAAATGGATAGTTAACACTAGCCGTGTGTACTCGTAGGTGCCATTGATACTTTCAAGCCATAGGTAGTATGTATTTAAAATAAAGCTCATTATTTCGTTTAAGGGTCTTCAAAACCATAACACATGATTTGAAGACTGAGAAATTGGAGGACCCACCAAACATTTTCCACGTCGAGAAGTTGCATGATGACATCACGGATCTTCCACTGCACCTTAAATAGAGCTCTGGTAAACGATGAAAAGTTGATTTTGTTAAAGGATTATCAGCGATATTAAATAAAGCATTTTAACACTTTAGAAGGACAAAACATTTTATCAAATGGTTTGTGAGGTGGCAGGAAGGAGCTGGGTGCACGCCGCTACTGACCGGTCAATATGGAAATATTGGAGGGTGGTTAAAATGATGGTGATGAATATTATGTTGTTTAAGTTGTCTGAATCAAGCTAACTTCCCGACGATTAGTGTTGATTATCTTTTTAAGTCATATCGGCTGTTTTCGTTGAATATATTTTAAGTCTGTTTTCAGTGGTACCTAAAGGGTATCCCAAATTTAGCGAAACTTTTGAATTAACTAGAAAACATAGTTTTTAGCCTTATTGATTGTATTATTTTTATAGAATCATAAAGTACATAGAATAGGGTTATTTATGGAACACATCGGGCAAATGGCACGCACGCAGCAACGCACTCATTTGTCGAAATTTCCCATGACCATTAGGGTGGTCCTTATTCTTACGAAAAAAAATTTTTTTCTTATATTTTGCGGGGCACCACGTAATTTGAATATACAGGGTGTTTGGCGCATCGTGTGCCAAAATAATTTGGCGGATAGAATGGGTCATTTCCTATATTTTCAGCCCCCATAACACGTTCCATGCCAGGCGACTACTTTTAAATTAATTTTTTTAGTAATTTCACCAAAATACCCAAATCGCATAATTTAATTTCGATTTAAAAAAAAACTACTAGGCGTAGCTTCAAAGTAAATATTTTGTTTTGACGTGCATTGATGTAGAGTTGCATCAAATCTAAATTTACTGGCAAATATCATCTAGGTTTTTTTTAATTCAACTTTGAAGTTTTCCGAAAAGTTAAAAATGGACTGAACATTTAAGTTTACATGGCTATAAAAAAATAAATAAAAGAGATAGCGATCTTCGGATTTTATCAAAACTTCTCTAGTCTATCCCCATTCAAATGGTATACTAATCTTGTTTAAATAATAACAACAACTTCACAAATTCCTTAAATTAGTGCATTGACTCTACTCGGACTAATTTGCGAAATTTGTGTTTATAGGCCCTTTTTGTGTGAATAGCACGTAGAACACCTAACAGGTAAAAAATATTAATCTTATGCAATGTAAAAACCTTTTCCCTATCGTTTTTCAATGTGGATTTCTTGAATTTGAGGACGAAAATAATTATTTTGATCGTTTATTAATTATTACAAATTTAGTTCAAAATGGGATAGACTAGAGAAGTTTTGATAAAATCCGAAGATCGCTATCTCTTTTATTTATTTTTTTATAGCCATGTAAACTTAAATGATCGGTCCATTTTTAACTTTTCGGAAAACTTCAAAGCTGAATTAAAAAAAAACTAGATGATATTTGCCCGTAAATTTAGATTTGATGCAACCCTACATCAATGCACGTCAAAACAAAATATTTACTTTGAAGCTACGCCTAGTAGTTTTTTTTTAAATCGAAATTAAATGATGCGATTTGGGTATTTTGGTGAAATTACTAAAAAAAATAATATAAAAGTAGCCGCCTGGCATGGAACGTGTTATGGGGGCTGAAAATATAGGAAATGACCCATTCTATCTGCCAAATCATTTTGGCACACGATGCACCAAACACCCTGTATACCATATGAAAGTCTTTCATTATTTTTTTTTTTAATTTTTAAAAGACATTTAGGGGTCGCTACCAAGGTTTGAATTTTAAGTAAAAACACAAAACCTATATTTGTTAGATTCATTTATTTTTAGCCAAAGCCAAATAAAAATATTACAAAATTATTGTTGTTGCTATGAACTAAGATATTATGTACAATGTACATTATTTGAATCAATTATTTTTAAGATATGAGTGTTTACTTGTGAGTATCTCGACACGACGGTACCATGGTCGGTACAGAAGAGGGGTTGAGGGAGAAGGGGACAAGAAGTGATTGTCTATTCTATCTATGCGATGTTCATTTGCACCTAAAATGTGATATAAACACTTAAATAAAACATTTATGAAACCATGATTTAAGATCTTCAAAGCTTTTGTAAATATTTTGACAGCTGGTAGCGACCTCTAAATCTTAACCAAAAAAAAAAACAAAAAAAGCTAATTTCATATTTAGAGGTATATAATCGAATGAGAAAGTGCCCCGGGGAGAATTCAAAAGTCGAAAAATAAGGACCACCCTAATGACCATTCTGCATAAATGTGGCTGAATTTCGTTGACGCAACGTTGAATCTCCTCCTTTTCATGCACGTGTGATTGTGGGCTTGTTTACTAGTAGACATGTGATTTTAAATAACCCCATAAAAAGAAATCTAATGGTGTTAAATCACACCATCTTGTCCACGACGCCGATTTGAGATTCCTGGATTGTCAACGATACTCACGCACTGCTTCGATATTGACATTTTAACGTCTTGTTTTTGGAAGAACAGTGTGTTTGGCGTCTCCAACAGGTCCTATCTCCTGGAATTTCTCAATTAATCTCTGCACAATTCACGAAGTTAAAACACTATTTCGACTATATTTTGTATGAATTTTTCGAATTGCGGACGAAGGCAGGTTGTTCCATCGTGTACCGCTACATTTTTAGTAACCCTAAGCTGTCAGTTTGTTTTATTTTTATGGTTGTCAACACTTTAATGCATGAATGGTGGCAGTTTCGTTAATTTTGGGACAGCCTTTATATCTCAGTCGATAATTTTACCACAAACCATAAAATATAGTGGGTGTTTACCCCTTTAATAGTATGTTTATACTATTAAAGGTCCTTAGATCTATTCTCATAAATAAAACACTGGACTCTTATCTTGCACATTTTAATATTGAAAGAGCGTGGAGGGAGACATACGCGAGCGTCCTATACTATTCTGACGTTTCTACAGTGACATTGACATTACTTACGTGTCAGTCTGACAGCAGCTCATTGGCTAAAACGATACCGATATTTTAACGTTTAGATTTTTCACAATTAACAATAAGCATGTATACTAATATTATTGTAGAGTACTAAAGTCTTACTTGTTCATGAAATTGTAAGAAGATAAGAGATTGAAGGGACTCGTATTCTTTAATGGTAGCTAATATGCAAACGCTTTTCTTAATTTTCTGCTATTATAATATTTTAAAAATTAAATAAAGTGTTTCAAATCTGGCTGGAATTTTACTTATTTATTCGTATTTTCGGGGATTTCTGAATAACGTAGTTGGTACTATTAAAAAAGAAGGAATATTATAAAGATCTAGTAAACTACATTATTGTAGTTTGAAGTGCGCTATACTTTTGTGCTTCTTTAGTGTCAGGGCAGTATTCTTCTTCTTCTTTTCAGCCAAATGACGTCCACTGCTGGACAAAGGCCTCCCCCAAGTATATTATTACGTAAATAAGTAATTGTGACTCAAAATTCTTTTATTTCCTGCAATTACTTTATTGACATTATTTACAATAAATTGGAATTGTATTTGAAATTGAATACAGTCATTTGACGCAGACCACCGACTTTTAGTTGGCCGATAGTTGGGCCCGATTCCAATTTGTATGAAGAATCGGTCGATACCAAATCGGTATAGTGTGCGCACTTTCACAATGTCCATACTGATTAACAGCCCGACCCAACTATCGGCCGACAAAAAGTCGGTGGTCTGCGCCTATGCTAAATAAACATAATATAATAATATCACAAGTGATACAAACATTGAGGATCTTTTCTTTGTGATAATGACAGGAAGCTAAATTTTTCAATGAAACTGTAATAATTTAAAAACTTAGTAAAAGTAACATTTATAAATATTTTTTTCGCGCAAGAAGACATTTTTACTTTTTATCATTGATAGCTTTCATAGATATTTCTGCTTTTTCATTTTTCTTGTCATTTTGTATTGTATAATACACCCTGTAATTAAAATAAAATTATTTACAATTAATTTAACGAAAATACTAGTTACAAAAATATTTTTGTGTCCAAGTGCGATTGTGGTCAAATACCTGCCTTGTTATAATTGACCATACGAAATGTGAATATTACATAATTTTCCATTTATTTATGAATATACTAGCTTTTGCCCGCGGTTTCACCCGCGTGAAATTTAGTTTGCCACAGATCGTCATTAATTATAGCCTATGTGTTATTCTGGGTTATAAACAATAATACTGTAAAGTTCCATCAAAATCCGTTCAGTAGTTTTTGCGTGAAAGAGTAACAAACATCCAGACATCCAAACTTTCGCATTTATAATATTAAGTATAGATAAATTCAAGTATTACCTGAACGTCAAAAAGTAGAAAACTTCTACAAAGCTCAAGAAAGAAAAGCCAAGGAATAATCCAAGTAGACCGCCGCAGGCGCCTAGGAAATCAGCTAGGCCTATCAACTCGGACAGATGGATGGGCATGAATATAGGTTCTTTGAAGTAAATGTCAACTTTTCCCACAGTGTATCTGTAACAGAGAATACACAAACCCTTTATAACATCAGTGTACATAGATTTAATATACTGGATTGATTTATGTCACTACTAAAGCCTGGTCCGTGAGCACGTAGAATCCCGTCCAATGACCCCAAGCAACCCATGACCCATCCCTATCGCTCGCGCGTAATTATGTTGCTGTCGCGACTGTGCGACGGGCGCCCGCAGTGAGTGTGCGAGCGCGACAGCAACATAATTACGCGCGACCGATAGGGATGGGTAGCTTGGGGTCATTGGACGGGATTCTACGTGCTCACGGACCAGGCTTTAGTCGTGCACGCGACTTGTTGAAAATTGAAAATTGTTTGAATTTTATTTCCCGTATTTGCAACACTTTTCTTTACTTATATGTATACTGAAAGGTGAACCAACACAAAAAAAATCTAATCAGACCAGTAGTTTCGGAGATTAGCGCGTTCAAGTAAACAAACAAACTAACACCCGTATTCCCAAACGATACTTGCTTAACTTGCACACTTGAACGCACAGCGTTGAATAGAGCTCTGTGATTGGTACGTGTGTGACCCTGTGCGCGCACTGTGAGACCTCATAGTAATGTTTGTGAATACCGACGTCAACCACTGAAGAGTTTACCTAACAGCGGTTTCACTTCCTGCCGTCCCAAGGTAGGAGTTCAGCATCGAAAACTGTTCGGAAGTCAAGTTGACGTCCCTTTCGTAGTGGTACTTGGCTTTGTGGACTATGGCGTCGTACTGTATCGTGTTGCAGGCCGGCAGGCAGTCGCATGTCGCCGTCATTGTAAAGGACACTGAAAATACAGGGTGTCGGTTTAAGTATGGATCAAACAAAAAGGATTAATTTTACTGCTCATATGCAACAACTTTCCTACAGAACGTATAATATGAATTTTTTTTAAAAATATTGATGTCCCCATACTAATTGGCTGATTTCATTAGACACCCTGTATTAAACTTAATCAGTAGGTCTAGGATGCGCGCCGCGATAAGCTTTTGTCGCACCATTTTATTTATTTTATTTTATTTTATTATCGATGTTACGCGATAAGACCATACATACGTTTGTCGTGTAAAATCATCGATAAAGTTTTATCACGGCGCGCATTCTAGCCCTGCAGGAGTCAAATACCAATTACGAGTAAATATGAAGGAATGGTAAAGAGAGTGTTGGATTCCGTGGAGGTCTGTATGGTCGATCTATTTTATTTTTATCGGACTCTAGTATAGAAATCTGGTGTTATTTTGTGTTCTAAAGTACTGTACACTTTAGACCACTTTAGTGCTTTTGAAACACAAAAAGTAATAGTCAAAGTCAACGTCAAAATAAAAACATCGAGTGGACTGTAGTATGAACATTATGAACAACCCACTTTGGATCCGATGGCGTCTTGAAACCTGCTTACTTGTCTCCACAGAATCCATGAAAAATCAATAGAACTAAAACACTCACGTTCTGTTTGTAACATTAAAAATATTGATAGATAACATATTTTTACCTTCTGCTTCTGAAACGCATTCTTCCATCAGTCGGCCGGAGCAGATTAACTTGCTGTCGTCGACTAAAAAAACAACTAGGCATATTATACAGGATGGAATTTTGTAATCTGAAGGGAAAGTATTCGTTAATACTGTTAGGCTGGGTTGCACCATCTTACTTTAACTTTGACTAACATCAAAAGTCTCTCTAACTCCATATTAAAAACACCGGTTATCGTTATAGTTACTTTTAAAATTAGATGGTGCAACTCAGCCCTTCTTAGATAGAAAATGTTTCTCCAAGAAACTGTATTTTTATTACCAAAAATTTGCCACCATACCATAACATTTTTGTAAATTACGTACATGGCATGTAAAACGCAACGCAGCCGCATTTTCTGTAAGTATAGTCGGTGAGACATTCCAGTTTGCAGTTGTTGTAGGTGTACACGCGGAAAAACTTCAAGGAGCGATCTTCGGGAAAGTAGCACTGACGTCTGCAATTAAAGTAATATTATAAAAAAATTAAACTTAGGCTGGGTTGCACCATCTTAATTTAACTTTAACAAACGTCAAAAATCTGTCAAAGTCCATACAAAAAACACCGGATATCGTTAAAGTTACAGTCAAAGTTAGGGGGTTTTAGATGGTGTTATTAACAAAAAAAACTCAATGAATAATGGAATAAATAATTAAATTATCATCGGGCAATCTTCAAATTCCACTGTCCACTGTGTCTCTTTAAACACTCGACATTGGCGAAACCAGTGTGCTTCAAATACGCACCATTAAATCCATTAAACAGAATAATAAAAGTTAGGTGGTGCAATCCAATCAGCATAGTCGTGGTTAAAGCATAAAGGATTTGCCACAATAAATGCCATGCGGTCTGCAGTCACATAGTAAACCTAGCCTGCATCATGTAGGTATGGACAACATTGTAATTTGTCACACAGGACAATCGGTCAGCGGTGCGGTTTGCGTTCTTTGCTCGTTCCCGCACGGTCAGATCGCATACCGTACCGCTTTATGTTTTAATGTAAGGCACAGAACGTTTTTTTTACACGTACAGTTCTACTGGATACGACTTTAAATTGTTGCTTGTGGTTCTGATGGAGACTTTAACAGCTAACGATGTCAGTTGGTCTAGGTTGGCTGTAAAGTGGTACGTCAAGGCCTGTGGTAGGTCGCCAGGGTGGTGAAGATAAATCTGAAATGAATAAAAATTTAGGTTTAATCTTAAATATTTCAGTGTTAAGTCACTTAGGTGATCACGCTTCACTATTACGTCACCTCATAAAATTTTTATATGCCTCATCTATCTCATACCAAGTCCATCAGACATGCAGTTTGCTGATAAGAAGTGATGATCAAGGGGAAGGTGGAAGTGAGTTTCACCCGGTATAGATGATTTTTGTGATACTTACGTTGTAGCCGCTGTACAGACGATTGCAAGATGTGTCCCTTTCATTTTCGAAGAAGTTCAATTCCATCGACAGCGTCGGTGCTCCATTGCCTTCCTTGAATACGATAAAGGCACTTTAAATTTATCAATAGTTTTGTTTTAGAGCTTTAATTCAAAGATTTTTTTATAAGGAACTAGGTACATATATAGTTCCATTGTAATCTTAATGTCATTTGAATCTTACATTATTTTGACTAATTTGACTGGACTATATTACTGCGTTTTAGGTAAAAGTACTTACTTACTAACAGTTACTATGATAAAATTTCAATAGTAAGTTAAAAACGAAACTTACTGTCCCTCTGAATGGGTAGGCCATCTTATTTTTACTGGCATATCCTTTTGTTAAGGACCAATCCTTTGTTTCGGCTGTATGAAAGGTGTAATTATATTCGCGTTGCAAGCTGAAAAGTAGATTTCATTTATAAAAATATAATTTGTAAAAACACAATTTGGTATATCAATCTTATAAGTAAAAAAATCGTCTTTTATAATGGTGACATACTTTTCCACTCTTAATATTTCATGAGCAGCCAGTCCATTAAAGTTGTAGCAGACTCCTTCTTTGGTTAATACTCTTTTGACCCTCTCATCTCCGTTGCTTTTAGTTCCTAACCAAGTCCACGATCGTAATATGTCTGTGTAATTGACTGATAACTGAAACATAACAAATAAACGACATAAATCTATAAAATCACTGTCATCCCAACTAATATTATAAATGCGAAAGTAACTCTGTCTGTCTGTCTGTCTGTTACGCTTTCCCGCTTAAATCTCGCAACCGATTTTGATGAAATTTGGCATAGAGATAGTTTGAGTCTCGGGAAAGAACATAGGATAGTTTTTATCCCGGTTTTTGAAACAGGGACGCGCGCGATAAAGTTTTTCTGTGACAGACAAAATTCCACGCGGGCGAAGCCGCGGGCGGAAAGCTAGTTTAACATAAGGTGGTGGAGGTCGTGGAGAGATCCATGNGAAAATATAATGATACAATAAATAATAGAAAGGACAATGACCAAAAATGTATGGAGTGTGGTCCAAATGTCCACCACTAACGAGACCTATGTAGTAAAATAGTCTACTAAATACTGATTCATTATAACCAAACCGCAATCGAAAATATGCTGTCAGTAAAAAGTTATGACTGAATGAAAAGTCTGTTTTTTACCTTTTCGTCCGAAAAATGTTCTTAATTTATCATTATATCCATTGCACATTTTGAACTTATCTACGCATGTTATGTCATGTCGCATGTGGCGCTGGGTTATAGATGAATTTTATTAAATAATAATGTGCAACTACAACTTTGTACGCGTGAAAATAGTTTGAATAATATTTCCCATTTTTACAACATTTGTCTTTACTGCTCCGCCCCTATTGGCTGTAGGATGATGTTATTTATCCTAAAATCATCCTTGATAAATGGGCTATCCATAACAAAAAGAATTTTTCAAATCGGACCAGCAGTTCTTGAGATTAGCGCTTAAACTACTACAATTTTTAAACGGTCATAACTTTTTACTGACAGCTTATTTTTTTTTCGTCCCATACTGAAAGTTAATCTCTATTTAATGGACTATAAGCCAGTGTAGGTCTCATTGGTGGTGGACATTTGGACCACTTTTGGTCATTGTCCTTAGTGTTCTTCTTTTTGCAAAGGGCTATTAAGAGTACCTACAGCTTTTTATATGACGCTATTATTTGTGTACAAATTTATCAATGCATGATGTTGTTTTTTATGCTATTTTACATATATTTTCTAATTACCGTTAGATTAAGTATTAGCCTTATCTAATTACCGTGACCATAAAATTTTTGGATCTCATTTACGCGAAAACCGCTTTGAATAAATTGACGCCTTTACGATTGTTAAATTCGTACTTTTCATGTGTTTTATATTTAAATACGTTTAAGTCAATTAAGCCAAATTTCAAAAATAATATGGTAATTAGGCTGAGAACGCCTAATCGTGAGAATGGCCGATATGCACTTGCACACCTTTAGTTTAAATACCATTGTAAACTTATAAACCTATCATGGATGTACTTAAACTTTAGAAATATTATTGTCTTGTATCTGTTCATTTAATTGTTACTTTTGGGCACTCGTTGTCTTTTTTCTTAGTTACTATTTTTGTTTAGAAGTGATATTTGTAATGACTGTTTTTGTGCCAAATAAATAGAAAAAAAAAATCCTCAATCACAGGGGAACTGGCTACCTTACCTTCAACTGCCAAAACACAACAATGCTGGTAGTTATCGTCGTTATGGCGACAGAGTTAGATGAGACAGGTACTACCACCAGCCAAACTTGACTACAACTACAACACTGCTTTAACTACCAATCTCCAGAATATAAATAAAGATTCTTGGCTCTCTTCTCCAAAGACCTTGACACTTGATATTTGTTTAAATCTGACAAGATTTACCTGCCTTTCAAGCAACATTTAAGGGAATTCTGTACCTGTTTACACTGTGACAGTCCCCCATACAAAATTCATGGCCAATACAGGGTGAATGTCTAATGCGAATCGATATACGATACGTTACGTGTAATTGTTGTGGATGTTGATGACCTATGTTGTGTTAAGGTCTGCGCAGACAAAGGACTCACGCCCGTTTTGACAACATTACTATGAGGTCTCACAGTGCGCGTGGACGCACAGGGTGACACGCGAACCAATCACAGAGCGCTATTCAACACTGTGCGTTCGATTTGCTGCTTCACTTAAGCAAGCATCGTTTGTGAATACGGGCGTTAGAGATGAGCTCATATCGTAGGAACCTGAAGGCGCTGAAAATAGGCCACTACCAACCAATCAATCTGGAAATCATTGGGGGACGCCTTTATTGATGATGATGATGATGATGATGATCGCACGCCATGTGCGTTGAGTCCGTGGAAAGTTCTCGTTGGATTTTTTGTCTTCTGCAGACACAATTCCCTCGTCTGCACATGCCTTTAGAGTCCCCCACACTAGCATTTGTTGAGCGTCAACCACACCTGTAGAGGATTTCTAGAATGGAATAAATCCTATGTGAATAAATTAATATGGAATAACACTTTATGCACCAGACTCAAAAATAATTTTGAAGCCAGTGTTCGGTACAGTGGAAGCTTACTAAGGCATCGTTGACATCCTTGGATACCTACGAACCTTACGAATATTTTTCAATTTAGTGGATAATACTAAAAAAAGTTTCAAGAAATGATAATAGCTCAAAAGTGTTACCACAATTTAATAGATTTAGCATTTCTTCACCTCCAAACGGGACATTTGCATATTAACTATTTTGTTGAAAGGTGATAGAAGTAATAATTATGTTATATTGAAAAAACTACATTTGACGTCACAGCAGATCCAAGGTCTTTTCAAATACATATTCTAATTGTAATGCGGTTTCTTGTTAATTAATTAATTATAACTTTAGTCACTTCAACTATGTCTACCGTCCGTCTTCTAGTTCAGTACGAAACCCCAAGAAATACTACCCCAAGGTTTATTTTTTTTTTCTGCCGTCACTGCTCGCGGGGGCGGTACTAAACCTAACGAATGATGGGAGTGTTTAAATCCTGTTTGATCTTTAAAGAAACTGACGAGCTATTTCATTATTGACACCAAAATCATAAATTTTTCGCGGACAAAACTTAAGGACGTGACTTAATCACAGTTATTTGGGAAACTTGCTTAATTTGGTAATCTTAGATAATAGATAGATTGTATAATCCAAAAATATACTTTTTCCCTAAGTTCTGTTTTGATCTTCAGCTAAAAAAATACATATTGTAAGAAATTAAGGATGTGGACACTGCACCAAAATTAGAAACGCTTAGTTCAATTATTTTTTGTCGAATTTGTAAAAGAAAATACTCATTAATAATGTTGTCCTCAAAATGGAACCTCTGTATATTTTCGTGTAAAAAAAAATCAAAGTTCTATGTCATAAAAAACATATGATTTTCAGCTACGCCGCTCAAAAAATGTGTTTGGGAAATTGACCCAAATACAGAGTCATCATCATCATCATCATTTCAGCCACAGGACGTCCACTGTTGAACATAGGCCTCCCCAATGATTTCTTAGCTGCCTGCATCCAGCGCCTTCCTGCTACCTTTATGAGATTGTACGTTTACCTCCAGAAATACAGAGTACCTACAATAATTCAATATGAGATGAGCTAGTATTACTGCGGCTCCATAATCTGTCTGTGGGTATTTCTCCAGAGGCAAAATTTTCGATGTCTGTGGGTATAGTTCTGTAACCAACTAACAAAATGGGATGCAATATTTTTTTTAGTATAGCTTAGCTTTACCCCTATCTGGCGCAAATTACATTTTTGAAATAATTGCTGTCTTTTTACAAAATAAAAATATTTGAAGTGTGATTCTCTGATTCATATGGTGTGTCCGTTAGCCATTTTCCGGAACAAAATGGTTGATGTAGCATTTTGCTTTTGATATATCAATATAAATTAAAATTATTTCGAAAGCTAATAATTGTCCTTCTACGAAAAAAATGTGTCATAATTTTAATTAAGTTAGTGTGTTCGCAAAAAAATAAATAAGCAGTGTCCGGCGTAAAATACTGATTCATATGGCGTGAGCTGTTCTTGACCATAACTGGTCAGGTTTTAATCATAAGAGTCTGGTTTCTGGCGTGGAGGCAAGCCCATCTTGCAACGGATGAGCTAGAAGGCAGACGTGGAGCTGGTTGGCTTAGAACCCGGTGTGACGAAGGCAAATACTTGATTCATCTGTGCTTGGTTCAGGTGGCATGCTGATTACAATGCCTACTTTATAAAATTACATTATTACATTAAAAATCTAATCTGTCTTTCTTGTGATGCTTTTGGGTTATAGATTCATGTAGAAAAATGACAACCCTGTAGTCTGTATGTATGACGAGTTTTGCTCGATTTTAGGCAAAAAACTGATTTATCTGTGCGTGATTTATATGGTCAGGGCCCTATATGAATCATAAAATAAATTAGTTTTTGGTCTATCAAGCACCAAAAAAGGGTTTTTTTAGCTAAGAATGACATCCCAGACTGCATCTCACTTAAGACCAGGTGCGATTGCGGTCTTTTTATGAATAAAAAAATACATTATCATTTTTATGCTAAGAATAATTTATGTGTTTAAACAGTAAATACGTAGTATATCCGTTTAGCTAGCAACCATAACACAAGCATATTTGTTGCTTATTTTGTGGCTAAATGGCGCTGTATGAAATTGCCCAACGATTTATTTATTTTTATTATTATTTCAGCTACACTTATGGCATCCATAGCACATAATAATATACTGCTGAGCATAGGCCTCCAAAGATTTCGAGATTAACTGATTGCCATTGCCACAACTTCTATAAGCTCATCTCACCTTCTTCACCTTGTAGGTGGACGTCTTAACAACAATAGCTTGGATAAGTGATAAAGCTCGGTAGAGTCATCTAAAATACCTTAGTGCCATAAGATGAAAGTCTACATCCAGTGTGTGTTATCAGTGATGACAAATTGTACTGAAAAGCGGCCTCTCACTGTAGGCTTACGAACCACAAAGTTGCATAGTGTACTACTCCATAGAGTGGACTATGCTTGTTTTTTTTTATGCAATCGAATCTGAAATGAAAAGATCCGTAAACGATCTAAAAAGTCGCATGGTGGCATAGTCCAATGTTTTAGCAAGCTGAAGTGATAATGGGCAGGACACATAGTATACAGAAATGATGGCCGATGGGATAGCACGTTTCTGGAGTGGAAGCCACGTGCCGGAAAGCTCAGTGTAGAACGTCCTCCCACAGGAAGGCGCAGGATGCAGGCCGCTACCAACCGGTCATTATGGAAATCTTTGGGAGAGGCTTATGTTCAGTTGAAATGATTATGATGATGACAAAATATTATGGATGTATAGTAAAGTTTCAAAAAAATGATTTTTCACGAATTATTGTGGAATCGTTGCATTTTTTCATAACGACAGACCATTTTTTTTGTTATAATATGATTATTTTCTTAATTTAGAGCCAATTGTACATAAAGATTATAAATTTTATTTCTATTTTTGATTAATATGTAACAAATTCTGATTCATATGGGCACGAAATATTTGAACGGCGATATCTTGAAAACTACTTTACAAAAACGAGTCCCTTATCCAAATATATGTTATTGGGTGTACCTATTTTCATATGAGTCTATGTTACAAACCTAAAATTGAATTTGAAATTTGTCCATATGAATCAGCCGAAGAATGCGATTTCGAAGAAGTGCCCCTGTCCAGTGTTGCGAGAGTAAGTTGGGAGTGAATTACAGAGGACCGGGTTTCTCCAGTTAAGGCCTAATGGTGATGATGATAATGATGCTAGTGTGGAAGTACTTACTGCGTGCAAACGTTTCACAGCAAAATGATCAAGGTTTTTTGCCACTCCAAAGCTCCTCTTCGTATCACAAATCAAGCCCAATGCATTTGCGTTTGCCAATTTATCTTTTCTGTAAGCAATAAATTGATGAGCTGATTATGAAGGCACTATCAGAGTAAATACAAATGAGTAGGCTATCTTCATAGAAACGCACCGAGCACGGTTTTTATGTGAGCACGCCAAATTTCGGCGCAACCACGACTGGCTCTCCGATAATCCACGTTAAATTTTGTCAGTGTGTGCGTGCGCGCCGCATACGTATTGGCGCGCTCACATACAACCCGCCCTCGTTGCGTTTCTATGAAGATAACTTACTCATTTGTATTTACTCTGGCACTATTCTGTCTACGATATTGATTGTACGATTTCATATAAAAGTTAATATCAATGTTTAAAGTATTTTTGTGTAGCATACCTTGAAGTTAATAGATTACAATGCTCATTTTTGAGACGTCCATGTTCACAAAGATAGTGTCCCTCCATAAACTGGGTGTAGTTAAACACAGATTGCTTGAATTTCATTTCGGGACATACTGTCACCGAAGGGAAAGGTATCTGGAAAACCGCAGACAAAATACTTCAGAAACCATTCGATTTTAAATATTAACAAGTGTCATAATACTCGTATAAACATACTTTAAGAGTAGGCGCACACCGTTGATTTTTAGTTGGCCGATAGTTGGGCCCGATTTTATTTTGTATGAAGAATCGGCCAAATCGAATCGGCGTAGTGTGCCCACTCCGATACATGCCCATTGCCCATACTGATCAACTGCCCGACTAAACTATCGACCGACGAAAAATCAACGGTGTGCGCCTACTCTAAGATACAAGACATATTGAAGGAGCTCACTAAGGAGCCTTAAATTCCCACGATTAAGAAAAATCTCTAACCTCATCTACTGAGATGAACTTCTGGTTAAAGCTGACAATGACGGGACTGGTGCTCCACTTCCACCAGGCCTCGTATATGAAGTAGAAGGATATGCACACGCTGGCGTGGAACGTGATGAGCCAGAACACCCTGATGAATCAGACAACCTTGATGATTCAGAAGGATTTGATGTAATCGAGTCAGTAGATCATAGAATCAAGTTCGTAAGGGAAGAAAAGTGGGTAATGGGTATAACAATAAATGAAAAAAGCTAAAAGCAAATCGAAAAGTCATAAAAGTCAATCATAGGAGTCATAGAAATCAATCATAGGAGTGTTAAAATAAATTGCTGAAAGTTGACGAAACGTTATCAAGTCAAGAAAATGCAAAACTTTATCCTTACTTTTCAATAACCTGTAGACCTTTCTCAGTAGTGTATCTCAGTCCATGAAGCGTTGTGTTCTTCGCGAAATCCAGGAACAGCTCTTTCAGGAGTCTCTTGCGGCGTTTTCTCCTTTCTTTTATGTAATCGCAAACTTTTGCGACAGTTGGATGTTCGGTTTCGTCGCTGAAGTATTGAAAAACACCTCAGATTAAATAGTCCACGAAATTCAATTAAGTAAACCATCATTTTTGGTGAAAGTCACGGGAAGCACCTGGATACGGACAACGTAAGACCGATCGTTGTGGAGATCCATGGTGGAGGCCTTTGTCCAGCAGTGGGCATCATTAGGTAAAAACAAAGCAAACAATTTTTTGAACCAACATACACCACAACCACAAAAATAATCTGCCAGACTAATTTTGACTCTAATTTCCTTTTTTTTTTCAACGGAACCTTATTATATTCAATATTATAACTTTTCACTTACTGCATAGTTGACATGTGGATTCGGAATACCACCACACTCTTTCACTTTCACTGTATGAATGAAAACTTGTCACCTAACCACTTAATTTTTTTGTAATAATTGTAAGGTCACTAATACCGCGTAAATGCTTTTGAGAAATTAAACGGTGACATCCATTATTGTGACATTTAATTATTATTCGGTAAGTAATGGGTTTAATTATAGTGTGTGACAACATGCAAGTTCAATGTCCATTTTATTACCATTTTTATTACGGATGTGCGTACAGACTTCGTTATCTTTTGTAGGTAAAGATGGTGTAGGCGCAAGTATGATAGAATTCTGCGATAAAGTTCTTCTAATTAGTAGTACTCTAATTTTAGGATGATTTTTTTTAAATTAAAAAGAAACCTAGCGTACTGAAACTATTATTCATTATGTTCTAGGCCGTTTCAAAGAAACTCGGACACTGTTTGTGTAGTTTATCGGACTGACTGTATCACTGACGAAAATATTGTGGAAATGCGGGTGGGTTAAGAAAACTCATCGCGCCGGAGCAGACGCCGCATCTCTTCAGTCTGCCCGCGACCATGACTCGTGCGACCGAGTTGAAACGTCGAGAGAGTAAATATCTGTTTACCGTTATTTAAAGTGTTTTTGTTGAAAAATCTCGTGACAGTGATAACTACAAGTTTAGTGTAAAAGAATGTCGCTCTTATAGAATACCTATTATCGAAGCTTAGTTTTGATTGTAGTCAGTAGAATTAATTCTGGCTTAAAATTGCCTGTACCCAGAGCCGTAAAACTTCACATAAGGTAGGGTACTATGAAAACAGACGCGGCCGTGATCGTTACGTGGTAGTTGATTCACTTTTATCGTGTTTCTAATTACTTACTGGTTTTATTAATGTTTTAATCCCTTGCGTATTACTCTGATATTACTATATCATAATATTTTAATGTATTCGTCGAATCTATTTCGTAAATTGATATTAAGTGATGACATTGAAGTGAAAGTGGGTTAATTGGTGAAGTGCGAACTTTTTGTGTAAGCAACTTAATGGAACAATGGCTGGCTATCAAGGTAACCTTTTATTTTCATTCTTGTTGAAACTTACGATAAATACGTATAAAATCGCTCAGCTGCCAAATGCGCGCCAAAACGTATGAGTCAACTAAAAAATCTACATACCTACTTCAATAACTACATCGTTCGTTTCAGCCGAATAACGTACACTGCAAAGGCCTCCCCCAAGGATTTCCACAAAGACCGGTCCTGCGCCGCCCGCATCCAGGCACCTCCCGCGACCTTCACCAAATCGTCGGTCCACCTAGTGGGAGGCCTGCCCACACTACGTACATAGTACTTTCATTATTTTTCACCTTACCTTACCTTTGCTTTTATTTTATACTAGCGGCCGCCCGCGACTTCGTACGCGTAGATCCCGTTTTACCCGTATCCCGTGGAGTTTCGTAAAATCCTTTCTTAGCGGATGCCCACGTCATAACATCTACCTGCATGCCAAATTTCAGCCCGATCCGTCCAGTGGTTTGGGCTGTGCGTTGATAGATCACTATGTAAGTTACCTTTAAGTATTTACAACATCATATTTTTTGTGTTTTAAGGATAATAACCTTCGACTAAAAGTCTACCTTAGTTATTACTACGTTTAGTTGGGTAATGGCTGATGGAAATCGTGATAGCTGGCTTGGGTAACCCTTTGTTTAATAAAGATAATTCCACATAGGACTTAATATTTCATGATCGAATGTAACAAGAACTCAAATTAAAATTTTAATTTGCTTATTTTATGCGGGCTCTTGTGCCTGATGTTAGGACTAAATTGGACTACAGAGGTTGCATACTTGCTGAGCTACGGTCAAATTCCTTGACTGCAAAGACTGGCCACTATAAAAATTGATTTCTTTTTTATTCTATCAATTTCGATTGTCAGTTGTTTTTCTTTGTGGACTTTTCTCTTTGACATTTTACTCGAAAATGTAATGTTGTTCTATCTTTTATATTTGAGGGCCGTTTTGAAGAATTCTTTCACCATTAGAATATTTTTTTTTTCTGATTAACTGATTAAATGATATTTTTACCCGTGCGAAGCCGAGGTGGACCGCTAGTTGAATTAATTTTATTCATTGCATCCATAATGATACCTACTCCGTAAAATTCTTGAAGTTATGACGTATCTTGCCGTATGTGAACGTTCCCTAAGAATGTTTAACGTTTTTATCGTTAGTTTTTGCTCCATTACAGAGGAGCGTAATTTATCACAATCATCCTCGATGATTGATATCGTCATCCCTTAGTAATCATTGGTTGGGCACGTCACTTCTTGTACCCGGTAGGTTATAACCACTGTATTAAATTATACACTTCTGTGATTACAAAATAACCATGTTTATAATAAGTACTCACGGATTAATTTTAGTTTTCTTAAACTTAATGGAATTAAATCGTTCGTTCGTTTCAGCCGAAAGACGTCCACTGCTGGACAAAGGCCTCCCCCAAGGATTTCCACAAAGACCGGTCCTGCGCCGCTCGCATCCAGGCGCCTCCCGCGACCTTCACTAGATCGTCGGTCCACCTAGTAGGCCTGCCCTCGCTACGTCTTCAGGCACGTGGTCGCCACAATGGAATTAAATAAAAATATGTTTCTAAAGGTCTAGTCAAGTCATAATATGTCAATGTCACACCTCCCGCCGTTCCCATGCCTCAGGCACTAAGTTAAACGCTAGATCTACAGTAATTTAGGCATTGATACTTTACCACTATCACCACTTCTTAGATTGAAAAAAAAAATTCAGACGGGAATTGAACCCTCCACCTTTCGCTTACCACTACTGCTCAGACAGGTGAGACGGTAAAACCGTTGCTATAATAATCATAAACTATGTATTTTCGATTTTCTACACAATATCCATAGGATCACACATTAAACAACATAAAATATTGAGACTTGTTAACTGCTAGTTTCGCCTCCACCTCTGTGGTCTAATGGTTAGATCACTTGCTTCAGACGCAGAGGTCCCGGGTTCGATTCCCAGTGGGGGCAGATTTTTATGTTCGGTTTGGTTGGTGGTAGGACTTGTTCTAAGTCTGCCTGGCTAGCTACCACTATCTCCTAAGTCTGTCGCCATAACAACAATGTTAACAGCATTGTTGTGTTCCGGCAGTTAGAGGTGAGATAGCCAGTTCCTCTGTTGTTGAGGATTCCGGGTGAAGCTCGCTTCCACCAGGTGAGATACAGGCCAAGAGCTTCCTCGTTGTGGATAAAAAAATAGTTTTAATAAATACATCCCATTCATGTGTCTAATATTCCGTGCCTACAGATTCGAAAATTAAACCATAACACTAGAGGCGCTGCTCTTAAGGCGTGTTTACACTGCGGCAGCACTCGCTCGGTAGCGTGTTGTGATAGGCTGCTCAAACAGCATAATTGTGAGCTATTGTGCGCGTGACAGCGTAGTGATGCGTGGAGTAATTATTTTTATATCGATTAATGCCTGTACTATACATACTGGATGCGTTTACGAGTAACATTTGCTGGTACTTTTCTTAAATTGATGTTATGGACAAGTTAGAATCTCATTTTTTTAGGAACAACAAATAGTGATAGAATGGAAAAGATCTTAGGGTTCAGCAGAGAGACACAATGGGTGTATAAATCAACAACCAATACTGAACCATTACAGTTACCTATTTCTATTCTTTATTAGATTTTTTAAGGAAGGCCATTGAATTGCGAAAGCACTTTACGAGTATCGAGCTTTTAACAAACATTAAATTTGCCTGCACTAATAATTTTAGGTTCAATACATAGGCCACGAAACTGATAGTTCAAAAATCATTGATTGATCAATAAAGTACCATTTGCTAGGAAAGAATTTGGTAAAAAGCCCCGCTGCAAGCTTCTGATAACATGCAGTTACTTCACGCTTTTAAAGAACGAATTGCAGAATCTTGTAACCCAGTAGCATAAAAATGATTGGCTGCTCAAACAGACGCACAGACGTAATGACCATTGTTACCGTGACAGCAGTGATGGGCGCAAGCAGTCGTTACGATAATTCTACGCTTCGTTTCAGTTACGTGTTGTGGTGGGTAATTTTGAAAGCTTCAAACACATGGTGGCTTAAGATTGATGGCTGTCAAAATGTATTCATGATACCCATGCAACCGACTGTGTAATACTGTTATTTCACAACCAGCAATTGCATTCTGTAGAATGATTTAGAGATAAGTTCTACGACCTTAACAAACACTAGGTTTTGTTAGTTAAAAATCCGATTATCATAACTACAAAATTCATTATGTTTTAACGATGTTTTTTTTAATTTTGAAGGCACATCACTATCAGCAACTAATATAAACACTCGATACTAAGTACATTTTTGTGTGATCGGTGATCGGAGCTCACCCCACGTTCTAATCGTGTTTGCGTAGACAACACTAGAGGCTGAGTTTTTTTTTTCTATTTGTTTGAATTTCGAACCGCGGGTGGCCAGCTACTGTTTGTTTTTGACCCATGATTTGAACGCACCTTTGAAAATCAAACAACACTTAAAATTCGAATGTCATTTCGTTTGATCGTCATTTGAAAAGTGACCTTGCTTTTTTAGGCTGCTGAGTGCATATTGTATAAATAAATAAAAATGTAATTGTATTTATTCTGCGACTAATCTTTATAAAAAATCTTTCAGATTATTTCTATAGTCTATTATTAGGAAAAAATTGACAAAGTAATAATGTAAGTTCATAAAGTGTCACAAAATTACTATAAATAAAAATTAACGGCTCTAAACCCTACTCACAGACTCACTTGTCATATCGGATTCCGACTAATTAAACGTCACCACATGTTTGGAATACTTTAAAACATAGTCAATTTTCGGAGACTATAAAAGGGTCGTATTAACAAAGGACTCCGAGACATTTTATTATTTATTTATCATCAATAACAATATCTGTGTGAACTTTTGCATCAACTTAGAAGTTCTTACGTAGACAATTTCACATGGAGAT